CAATTAAGTAATCAGTTCCCAGCTCATAAGACGTTAACATTTTTAACTGACCAAGATTTTGTTTCAACTCCACAACTGTCAGAGGTTCCGGTGGAAGGACTTACAATATTCACTGATGCCGGACGGAAATCAAAAAAGGCTGTGAGTACGTGGCAATCTTCAACAGGTACCTGGGAGGAACATGTCATCAAAGGAGGCCCAAAGGACTCGTTACAGACTCTTGAACTGCAAGCAGTGGTATGGACATTTTCAAACTGGACTCAGCAACCTATACATTTCAATTGGCAATAACCGTGCTGATAAAGTCCTGTGCTTCCTGTCAGAAACTAGGACCCGCTTATGCTTCGCTTCGCTTTGCTCGTTTTTGCAATCTTTGGGGTATCACTCACCGCACTGGGATACCGCATTCTCCCACTGGTCAAGCCATCATTGAGCGCTCCCACCACACGTTAAAAAACATGTTGTTAAAACAAAAAGGGGGAACTCAGGGTTGGCTGCCCAGTGATCGATTAATGAAAATGTTGTATGTCCTGAACTTTTTATGGCTGACAGGAAACAGTGATGAGCCACCTATGATAGTACACAGTAAAGGAATGGGCTCGTTCTGGAAAGAAAAAACGCAAGGCCTAGTACTCTATAAAGATTTAAAAACAGGCAAGTGGGAAGGACCAGTAGAATTAAAAGTAACAGGCAGAGGATATATGTGTTTACTTACAGGAAACGGACCACTGTGGGTTCCGGCGAAGTGGGTAAAACCATATATACCCGAAGCAAACTAGAATGTGGCTTCTTCCCACAGATACATACTGGTTACTGACAAGAAATGGTTCAAAAGACTCAGAAGAATATGTAAACTGTTTTTATGTTTCTTGTTGTTTGGTGTATTGCAGGTGTGGGGGTTGCTTGTATGCTTAATAATTTGTCTGTTACACTTGCTCACAAAAATGATTGAACGGGTTGTAAAACAAGTCTGGATTGTTCAAAAACAAGAAGGGGGATGTGTGGAAGGATACCTGAGACGTGAACAATCCAGCCTTTCCTGGGAGCACGTGCCTGGATGCAGAAAGGGAATTCGACACCATGATGACGTTGCTTCCGGGATGCAACCAATCATACTCAGGGGTGGGCTATTGTTTGTATTGTAACCAATCATAGATTGCCAAGTCTCGTTTAGAAAGCTATAAAGCACGCTGAGTGTATGCAAATAAAGGTTCACTTGTTTGATCACATTGATCGTGTCAGGTGTCCTCACTCATCTCCCGCACAAAATGACAAAATCCCAATAAATTTGGGGCAGATAAAAATACAGACATGCTTTCAGAGAGAGGGCAGTGGGATTTACAGATGCTGAAAGGACTTTAACTGAACTGATGCACATAATCAAAACTTCAACACTAAGATATAATAGAAAATAGTAAGGATAGAGAGGACTGAGATTTACATCAGCCTTAGGCCAAGCACATGCTCCATTTATCCAGGTAGGTATATATTGTTCTTACTACCAGGAGTAACTGGAAAAGAACAGGCTCTTTCTAGAAATAAAGAACCATCCAGCATCCACATGTGTTTTAACTGGAGCATATAGTTTTCTCTAAATCCTTTATTGTCAGGTCTGCTGGGTGTAAGAGCATGGGACTCCTTATCACCACGCTCAGAAAATCCACAAACCGAAACTGTTTTAGCTGGCCAGATGTAGGCAAAATCTGGTAAACTGCATCAACCTTCATCTTTTGGTGATCTTTAGACAGTCTTAGACAGGCATAAAGCATTAGCTCTCTCTATGTGGAACTCTAAAGCAAAGCAGACTGTATTTCCAGTTGAAAGCAAAAGACAAAATTTGGGAAAACTCTATTCATTAAAATGGCATTGAGAACAAATTTCCCACTCCTGATTCAATATTCTAAAATGAAGGAAAATGTCTGGCATCATGTTCAAGACTGACATGTGACTCATATCTGACAAAATAATTGCAGTATCTTCCCAGAAAAGAAGAAAAACCTTTCATTACTTTGCCTGGGGATGGAAACTATCATGTTTTCAGTCATTATTTGCTTATAGTGAGCCCTTAATCGGGGATCCCCATAAACAAACTCCTCTGAATTCCAATACGTCTATGTGTATTTTCTTTTTTCTCTGGAGAAAAAAGACTCCTGGTTTTGGATACCCTTTCTGTCTTAGGAGGGAAATACGTACCAGTAACAATCTGGACAGTGAAGTGCCATACCCTGAGGAACGTTCCAGCACTAGTATACAAGTGACCCTTATGCTAGTAGTTACCTTCATACTTAGATGGTAAATTTGGCGTGCAGCAATATGTAGTTATGCAAGACTACACGTACCAAGACAGTCAGACATATCTGTTGCTAACCTCCATCCAAACAAGGATTCTCTTTAGAACGGGGAATGATGCAGCCCAGTGTAAGCCCCAAATAATTTTGATATCAGGTCTGTGCTTATGTACTGTAGAAGATGGTAATCTTCACTAGGATTTGAGAGAGATTCAGCAAGAAAGACAAAGGATCAAAAGGTCCACACTGAGATCCTTGGCATCCTCTTTCTTCAAGGTTCCTGTCACCAAAATGAGGCATAAGCTACCACAACCTGGGTAAACACCACTGGAGTCACAGAGAGCAGAAGAGAAAGGTCCCTGGAAAGATTATTATGCCTGTCCTGCAATGAAAGGTAGATACTGACAGTAAGATGGCCTTACCAGTGCGACAGTAGGTGTTCTGATGACTGAGGAATGAACATCAAGCCCCTTTTAGAGAGTCACTGACTATCTTGTATGTGACCTTGCAGATATAAGTATGGATTTCTTTAAGTTCAGAATAAGTCCTTTCCTTTTTGTTCACTTTTAACATTATAAAGTGGCATCTGAAACCCCTTTGTCTTTTGGATTGGATGAAATCCAGCTTGAAGGCTGGATGTCAAGATGAAGTTCATTACTGATGAAGCATTTTCATAGGGAAAAATGCTGAAAAGAGATGGGGTAGATAAACTGAGAGACAGACAAGTTATGAAACTGAACAATACAATGTTAACAATCGCCAAAATCCAAGAACCTGTAGCAATGTTCTCTCAGCTATTGCCAAAATATCAAGAGGCTTAACGTAACATCAAGGGCAGCAGAGAGAGCAGTTCACAGCTTTCACCCACAATTTCCACACTTCAAACATGCTGCTGGGCTAAAAACTTACATTTGCCATAGCTTCATCTTTTGCTGTTTTTTAAAGTCTATACATACTTGCACCAACTTTCAGAACACTTATTTAACTACTGTGATTTCTACAGGATTATAAACTACTCAGATAGTAACAAAGACGTGGTAAGCTGGACTGTCCAAAAAGAATGGATTCTTTTCAGTCTCCTACATTCAAAAATAAAAATCTCTCTTTAAGCAGTTTGAGAATTCAGTGATCTCAGCTATTCTCACAGTCTTTGTCAAAAAAGCACTATCAGAAAAGCATTCTAAAATTCATCTTCAGAAATCCATTGCACACTGTGACGATATTTAAGTCAGTCTTAACTTTCAAAATAAATTTACTTGATTACTTTCAAAGTTAATCAACTCAGAGAGTAAACTCAGACCAATGTGTTTGCTGGATTTGTTTATCAAATGTGCAGTCAGGATATCACCAATTTAAAAAGAAAGGTGAGTATAAAATATTTTGGAGGGAAATCAGATATTAGACTTAGTCTGATCATATTTGCCAACCTGAAAATGCTAGGTTGCTACTGGTTTTGCCATTGCTTATTTGCTTATTACAAGTAGAGAATGACAACATCAGAATTATTTGTTCATAATAACACCATTTTGCAAACTTACAGTATCCCCTGGTGTCCCTTTTGCTCCTGGTTGACCCGGTGGTCCAATTTCACCCTATATTTTTTACACATAAAAAGAAGAATTCTGTGATTAATGTATCTAGAGTTAACAAATTTGCTACATATTCTTTAATTATGCAGATTTATTTAGTTAGGATTATTTCTCAAAGTATTATAAAATTAACTTTGTTACGTATAAATTATTCATTCTTTCTGGAATAGTTGAAATAAAACCTAATGAGAGACTTTCAAACAGGCCACACAAATTGGAGCATGTCTCCATTTATTTGCAGCATGATTTGATGTCTTAAAGCTTCGCTATAAAAACTCTCCTCTTAGCACAGACTGAACCCTTACTTTGGAATGGGTATATACACGCACAGGTTTTAACTGTGTTTTGAACTATTAATAATACCTTTTGTCCTTTTGCTCCTTGATTTCCAGGGATTCCAGGAATTCCCTGAGAGAGAAAAAGAGAACCTTTTTAATATATGGAATAGTTTCTCCAGAAAATAATATATAATCGCCCCCTTCAGAACTTCAGAAATTCTACATTTGCCATATGATTTGAGTTCAAAATATGGGCAGGAAAATAGAAAATTAAAAATCCACAGAAGCGAAAAGAGCTTCAGCTGGAAACACCTGAACTATTTAATCTGCAGATACAGTGAAATACTAATGTTCAGTCGCTCTCCAGTGCCTTCGTGCCAGGAGTCCGTGTCTGCCGCTGGGCAGGCTCACATGTTCCCAGTTGCCCACCAAGGGCTGCAATGCTTTACTGAAAACCCTGAAGGACACAGGGAAAGAAATCATTTTTCATTCCTCACAAGATTTCCCACATAATATAGAGCAAAAGTCCTGGTCAATAAGACCATGAGTATGACAAATTCTATTTTCCTATCTAAAATGCAGTGATTGTAACAGAACACAAGAGACAGCTATAATTATAGTTGATGTATGCTAGCTTCCACCTCCATAAACACTTGAAGTTCTTCGTCATTTCCTCAGCATCATTGCTTATTTAGCTCTACAGTATAGCTAATAGCTTTTTCTTACAGTGATCACTTAATTGAACATAATTCAGTTTTAAACCAAAACTCAATATATACTTAAAACTGTAGTCTACATTCAGTTAATCTATTTTTTTCTCTCAAGTGAGATAATTCAGATTTATTGGACAGATAATGTTCTTACTTGTACCGTCATTAATCTGAAGCAAGAATTTGGTTTACAGACTTTACATTTTAATCTAATATCGAAATTAATATGCTGCAGTGAAAACAAGTTCTTCACACCACCAAAATAAATGCCTTTTAAAAAAAAAAATAACACGAATGTAACAACCAGTGAAATTAATATGCTGCAGTGAAAATAAGTTCTTCACATCACCAAAATAAATGCATTCTAAAAAAAAAAAATAACACGAATGTAACAACCAGGAATAACCTGATAGTTTCCATATGGATTACATCTGTGCAATGTTGGCTTGGAAAAGATAGTTCCATTGTTTTGCAGTTTACACCCGTTTTTTAGTTAATAATGACCCCATCAAGCAGAAACAGTTCATTGGTCAATGGCACATGAGTTAACAATGACATCCTGAGCATTTTACAGGTCATCAAAATTCCAATGTACCTATCATTAAAAGAAGAGATCACAGAATGTAATAAATAGAACTGGAAAATAATGCCTCATTCTGAGACTTCCATTCACATTGTGTAACATAACTCTTCTTGCTAAACTTTCGTCCAAAACCATCTTGGATCTTTTGCACAAATAAAGAGAAGGGAAATAGGGCATATTTATCACCACATTTAGGAACTTCCAGAGCTGTCCATGAGTTCTCAGTGTAATTATTTAACAGTTAATTTCTGTAGCTGTAAACTATAAAACTAAATTATAAATATCTGTACCTGTAACACAAAACAGAATTTCATATATGCTGAAAATACCTCCCACTAGGCAGCAACCTTGTACTGAAAGGATGCACCAAAGGTTTCCATGGTTACCTTTCTACGCTATTCGCAGGGCTGAGAGAAGACAGTTCTACATACTTATCCAACACAGCAAACGATTTACCATTATATAAGTATGTCTAAAAGAAGAAATACAATGTCCAACTGAGCTGCGTTCAACTTTCTTGGCTGAAAAGATATTGCAGACACAAGACATTTAACTTTATATCAGTGGCAAAGAAGGATAAAACTCAAAGAACAACAACGGTAAAACTTAGTCATATTTCCTTTTTTTTTTTTTCCCTTTTTTCCTTCAGATTGACTCTGCACCACTGAAGTACATGGAACTTAGGCTCTTATTTCAGTGGGAGCTCGTCCAGACCCTTAAAATTCTCTTATGGCTCATTGACATTCACTCAGCTAAGAATCAATCTATCACTTATGCTAATGTGAGTGATTCCCAGAGTACATGGGGTGGAGATTTTCAGTTACTCTCCACATGTCAGTTGGCACAAAAGAAGGAAAATGAGGTGGCTAATTTGGTCATAAAGAATTTTTCCCATGAGAGTTATTTTTCTGTATAGCTTCCACAGTTCAGTAATTACAAAGACTAATTTCTGTAGGATCAGCTCCAAGATCCCTAAAAAATTAAATATGGTTTCCTTCTCATTATCTATCCCCAATCCATTATTTCCTTTTACATGGATAATCTCTGGTTATGCCAATTAGAATTATTTGCACTTTCCCAGAAGGCAAGGTTAAAAAGTAGTTTAGATATCTTGAGTTTTTTCCCTAACTTCTAGGTCAAAAGCAAAACCAAACTTTGGAAATGTGTCTTGTTCCTAAGCAGAGACTTCACATGCAGTAGCAGTCCTCAGAATCTGAGCATTTTTTTTGTCCACCATGAGTAATAAGGCACTGTAAATAGGAAGTTATGTTCAATAGGGTGACATATCACTAACTAAACTATCAAAGAAACCTTACTCTGATTATCAAAAAATGTATTTCTACTTTAAAGCATGAGGCGAAGCAACTAGTTTTACTCCATTTGTAAGATAAAAATGCAATTTTTGTGAGGAGTGTATTGTAACTAAAATTATCACAAATGCCTGTGTTTAATCAAAACTTAATATGAAACAGATTCATCATGCAATTTTTCTGCCACTAAGGGAAACACAATGTTTGGAACTGCTACAAATGGGAAAACTGCCACCCACTGGGAATAAGAGAATCAATGCTATGGAATAATTCATGATTCACTGGCCTAAGGAAAAAGACTGCCTTTGGGGATGTCCTTAGCAAAGCTATCGAGCAATATTTTGTTCATATAAAATAAGAAAAAGAGGTTGTAATTCTAGATTTTATTTTAATTTATTTTATTTTATTTTATTTGTCTTTCCAGAAAATTTATTTTAAATGGTTTGTATTTATCATATATGCAGTTATAATAGCATTCTATTTCTAGCCGGCTAAAAATCAAAGCATCTACTATGCTTTAGTGATTTCTGTCCTTACATGAGTTGAATCATCTTACACTTCTGAATCAGTTAATTTGTTCCCCTTCTTCATTTACATCAAATTTCATGTAAGATTTATTTCAGTGTTTCTTCATTTTTAAAAATGAAGTTTATTGCAAGCCTTGCCACTGCCTTAGTTCTTTCAGCATCATCAATCTGACTTTCTCAATTACCTTCATTGCATCCAAATGCCTTCCTTTCCTTTTCTGAAATTTTCGCTTAAATAGGAAGGCTTCCCTTACCCCATAAAAGCCTATAATATTATTATTTTAGCCTTAATTAGCAAGTGCTACAATCACATGAAATTTAAAGCCAGTAAGATAGCCTAGTAAACCTAATACCTTGGTTTAAAAATGTGTCTATTCTAAAGGTTCTCAACTGCAGTTTTATCACACGCTGCTGAGTTTGTGCCTAAAAACTAATGGGATCATGTATCAGTCTGGCAGCTAACCAAAATGTTTTATTTATTGAGACACTGCTGTCTCTACCCTTTATTCAGCCTCTTTTGCCTGTTTAATCATTTCTCTTCCACCCTGTGCTACCTATGCGTACCTAGAAGCCTGGCAGCTTTCTAAGCTCTTATTACAGACCTGGGGAGGCTTTGCAGGGTATCCCCAGGACCTAAAATGACACTTGAATGCCACGTAGGTAACTGAAATTGTCTCTGGTGTCACTGAAGGCGCTGTGAGATAGCTGAATTACCCTTTGAAAAAGATGCTGGTCTGCTCTAAGAACTGTGTCCTACATGCCAGATGTTGCGGTTGCCCTCAGACATCTCAAACGGCGCTCAGTGCCAGTGTCCGGGCGACCAAATCCCACACACCTTGATGTCTTGTTCTCAGGAGCAAAACTTATCTCTTTTTTTGTTTGTTTGTTTTCTTTGCTTGTTTGTATATGCCTGGTGTGATAGGTCTCTATAAGCTCAGATAGCAAAAGCTGACAAAGTCTTCACATTGCCTAGGAATCACAAGACACGTAAGTGTAAACTAGGATATCCAAAGGTAACAGGAGCTATGGGTATGCTTTGCTTGCATGAAATAGCAACGCTTAGCCACGAGTCTCAGTTTCATCACAGAATGAAGCTCACCTGGGTACGCAGCTAAATGTCCTAATGCAGCCTTCCTCAGCTGCAACCCTCACAGCTGGGGCTTCAGAACATCCAAAAGCATGAATTTGTTTCTGTTGTGATGATAAGCTTCAATGATGACACTTAGAGAATTCTGTATAAATATCGCATCCTCCTAGTTTTAGCAATTTAAATAGATCTTCCATTCTTTGATAATATCTGGCAGATATAATGGATTTATCTGTAAAAGGAATATAGTTTCACAATCCCTGGAAAATGTTTCTTGTAGCTTTCATTAATCACAAAGTGTCTATTTTTTTTTTGGATGATATTAAACAGATGCATTTTTTTCCAGGCAGCCCCACAAAAAATCCATTAAATAAATTGCCTGAGGCCTTATATACAGATCAACCAGGTGTAAGCATTTTTACTTAAGCCATAAGCTACATTTCTCAAAATATTTTTACCACTTCTTCTAGCTAGTATGATGAATGATTTGTATCTCCCTCATGCTTAATTTTACGCTTGTGAACAGCAGAAGAAACCATGCATTAAAACTTTTTCCATAAGAAAACAAAAAACCCCACTATTTTACTCCTAAAACTAATATTTTTATTAGCCTGTTCTATTCTTTATTTTCTGCTACTGTCTTCAATATTCCCCATTTCTTCAGTGCCTGGTAGGACTTCACTCTTTGATACTGGCTGATAGCCCTAGTATGGAAAGCAGGAGTTTCTAGACTACAGATAACATATCCATTATTATAAAATTCTAACTCTGGAAGCTGCAAAATCATAGAATATTTCTGAAAGCTTCTTTGCTATAAGCAAAGTGTTTTGCAGTCAATTCCCCAAAAAGATGGAGAGAACATTAGTATAATTATCTTATTATTATCTTATTTTTTTAGGGTAGGTATACAAAA